CTAAACCCTAAACCCTAAACCCTAAACCCTAAACCCTAAACCCTAAACTCTCCTCACCCCGACGGCCCTTTAAAGTCAGAAGCGGTAACCTTCCAATTCTGCCAAGCACCTCAAAACCCCGAAGCTGCCCATTTAGAAACACGAGTAGAAGAATATAAGTAGCCACAAATATGATAACATGATAGTGCAATCATGTAGTACATAATTCAGTAGATTATAGTAGAATCAGAAGTTATGAGAAATATAAAATATGTAGAATTATAAACTACATGCTACAACAATCAAACATGGCCGAAAGGTGGATACTGCGTGCTCTGCTTCTTTGGTGGCGACGAATGCTGCCGCGCACATGATGGTCAGGCAGGTTGCTGCGCGGTGTCAGGCGGTGTTAGACGGTGCGGTGTGGTTTAGGGTTTAAGGTTTAGGGTTTAGGGTACTGCGGCCGTTCTTTTGGCTTTTGTGTCAGGTTTCGGGCATGTGTTGGTTGAGCCTCTGGGTGAGGCGGCACACCCGGATCGGAGAGAAGATAGCGCCGCTCAGCGAGGACCGGTGGCATCCCCGAGCAGTGTGGCGAGAACCCCCTGGGTTTAGGGTTTGGGGTTTAGGGTTCAGGGCGCCCCCTTGATGACCGTAGCTGCCCAGATTCCATAGCTCATGTCAAACTCCCACTGCAAACTTGACACCTGGGCTAACACCCTTACCTGCAATTAACCTTGGGATGTTCCCCCTTATACTAACAGTCCTCAATAGCAATTCTAGTACCCCCATCATCATCCCTATACTGTTAGTATAAGGGGGAACATCCCAAAATCAAACCCAAATTCAGTCCTACACCTAAACCTCCCTTGTTCAGGACAACATGAAGGATCAGGCACAGCTGAAGTACGCCGTTTGCATGGGCGTCCTTGCCACTGGCCTCATGTGAGGTATAAATTACTAGGGTTTGGGGCTTTATTGAACGGACACTCAACAAATACAGATACGTACAACTTAAAGAAACAAGTACACAGATATACACATCCATATATATATATATACGCATGCACGCACCAATAGCTGTAGAAGGAACCCTACAAGCAATACAACGCAGCAATGTCAGCAAACGAGCGCAACCCCACGTCCAGGAATTCCCCTCTCGCAGGTCCTATGCTGAAACTGAAAGCTGTCTGGGTGGATCTGAACAGGGCTTCAGGGGGTTTTGGGGCATTTAGGGGCTTCGGGGGGTAACTGCCCCTGAGAGCCAGAACGCACCACCCCACCAGACCGAAAGGAGATCCGAAACCGAAACCTTCAGCCCGAAACCCGAAATCCTTGAACCCTAAGGCAACCCCTAAACCCCTAACCCCAGAATGACAGGCCTTCCCTAAACCGAAACCCTAAATCCTTAAACCCTGAAATCCCTCAAAACCCTCAAAACCCTACAGCCCCTCAACATAGGTGATGCTACATCCCGGCGGGTGGATCGGCGAGTGTGCGGCGACGATGCTGTCCTACAAGGGGCGTGCAGGGCTTACTCTAGGGGCCTAGGGTTTCGGGTTTAGGGTTTCAGGGTTTAGGGTTTCGGGGTGGGTTTCGGGGGGGTTTAGGGTTATTAGGGTTATTAGGGTTATTCGGGTTATTAGGGTTATTAGGGTTCTTAGGGTTATTAGGGTTATTAGGGTTCATAGGGTTATTAGGGTTATTAGGGTTATTCGGGTTATTAGGGTTAGTAGGTTTATTCGGGTCATTAGGGTTATTAGAGTTATTAGGGTCTTTAGGGTTATTAGGGCTTTTAGGGTGATTAGGGTTATTAGGGTTTAGAGTTTAGGGAACACAATTAGTAATTATTCCGACCCTATATTTCCCGACCTTGGCTTTCGAAGCTCGTATCCATGTTGAGAGGCATGGCCCAAACCCTGCGGAGCTGAGACTCCTGAAAATGGACCCTAAACCTAAACCCTAAACCCTAAACCCTAAACCCTAAACCCTAAACCCTAAACGCTAAACCCTAAACCCTAAACCCTAAACCCTAAACCCTAAACCCTAAACCCTAAACCCTAAACCCTAAACTCTAAAGCCCCCCCTAGGTGCCTTCACATTCGACGTGGGCGCGGACGGCTTCATCCGTGGAGAGGCCCGTGCTCTGAAGGGAGCCTTTGCTATGGGGGTTAGGATAACAGGGGAACCTTGTTGGGGTTTCCTAGTATAAGGGGATCCTACTATTTGGGGTCTATTGGGGTCTATATCAGGGGTCCCTCCCCATATGGGGGTTTGGGGCTTATGCAGGGGAGCTACGTGGCACATAGGGCCTCCTATGGGATCTCCTTCGAGAATTTCAGCGAACCTTCTCGGGCAGCAGCCCCAAAGTACCCCCCCCCTCCTCCAACACAAATCTGATGACAAAGGTGGTTGCAACAAGTTTGAGTTCCCCACGTTGTCAAAGCCCGCAGGAAGGGCCAACGTTCGTAGTAGAGAGCTCATCTTAGAGTCCTGAGCGACATGGGGCTTCTGAAATGTTGTTGTGAGACGACGGTCGACCTCTTCAACGATGCATGCGGGGTTTATGGTTTAGGGTTTAGCTTCTCGTTGTGGAAGGCAGGGAGAGGGACAGGGAAACCTAGCGCACATCTGCACTCTTCATTCAATTTTGTCGCTGTGTTTTCCGCCGCCTGTGGGGTTTCAATAGAAGTGGGTAGTTTGCCAAACCCGCGGTTTTCATCACACCCATGCGCTTTGCAATTGGGGTGTAGCAGCGGCGGTTAATGTGGCAGAAAGGCAAAGGCATCTCTCGAATCGCTGAACAATGCCGCATGTATGACATGCGCGAGCTTGCGTCGCACCTGCACCCCAAGAAGAGCCCGACGCCTCAACTCAACGAGCCTCGACCTCACAAGCCTCATCGGATCAGGGCTGCTGTGGCGTCCACCTCGCTGCCGAGAACGACGCGGAGCGCGCGGCTGGAGAGCGGAGCTTGGCGACCCTCGGAGGGCAAAGCAGTGGGGGCACAGTGGGGCTTGTATATGCTTGTATCACCGTGTGTGATTGAGTGGTTCGCAGCTTTAGAAAAATGGATGCCTTTTGGTTCTAGTAGTTGCCTCAGCGAGCTGGATGAAGGGTTCGACTGCTTTGGGTGCAATTTTGGGACCGGTTTTTTCGAGCAGTGCTGCAAGCTGTAGCACCACCCTCTCTCGTTTTTTTTTGGGTTCTCAGCGACAGCATACGGCCACTTTCAGCTGCGGACGTGTGGTGGTGATGGGACTTGGCCAAACGGCCCGACAGTCCACAAAAGAACAGAAATGGATTGGGCTTTGCCTGGTCAGTGTCTAGCAAGTACCTACCCGCTGCCCCGGCCCACGCACAAAAAGTGCACATGTCTGTGAGGAACATCAATTCGGTATTGCTAGATACATTTCTGTGAGGAACATCAGTTCGGTATTGCTAGATGTTTACAGCAAGGGCCCCGAACGCATTCCTCTGAACTGTGCGCCCGAGCCGCTCAGGATATTGCTGGGCAGCTGCGCCAACCAGGCCCCCTTCTGCCAGACGACTCATATATGGGGGTTTTTTCGATATTCGGGGTACCTTATTGGGGTCCTCAATAGAAGGGAACCCTGCGACTTGGGGGTCTCTATTAGGTGCCCCTGATTTTCGTAAACCCTCATGTAGCCACACACATTGGGCATCGGGCCCTGCACCTCGCAGCCCAAGCGGAAGATTGTGAGGGCCATAGATCGCTCGCGCAAAGTGTCCAAAGCACCCAGCCGTAGTTCTTGAGGGTTTCCCTAAACCCTAAACCCTAAACCCTAAAACCTAAACCCCAAAACCCAAAACCCTCAACCCTCAACCCTCAACCCTCAACCCTCAACCCTCAACCCTCAACCCTAAACCCTAAACCCTAAACCCTAAAACCCTAAACCCTAAACCCCAAAACCCTGAACCATGCGCGGGGGAGGACGGCCGGTCTGCTTCTCTGACGGCACCTCACGGCCCGTCACAGCAGCAACTTGGCTTGATCGACAGCTTGGTTTCGGAGTTTTAAGCTCTTCTGGGGGTCACATGGGCATTCCCTTCAGTTGAGGGACCCTAAACCCTAAACCCTGAACCCTAAACCCTAAACCCGCAACCCTGAGCCTTAAGAAGCCCTCGCAAGTTGGCGCTACGCCTCTCTCTAGCGACGGCCAGTGTGTTTGACCTCCCTTCGTGCCGGTTCTGTGGATGGGATCTGGGCGCCGCTTTCATGTTTGCATCTTGTTCCTGTGGCACCCCTGGAACCCACGATTTCACTTGGGGTTTAGTGTTTAGGGTTTACGGTTCCCTAAGAGATAGGAGGCTTGAATCCTGTCGCTTTCAACAAGTGCACTTGCCCCCCCCAAAACGAACTCTTAGTCATCTGCACATATATATATATACACACATATATGACAATTCTATATTATACATATAAGAGTTCCCTTTTACGGGTCCCCCTTGTCCTACCTAGAGTCCCAAGCATGTCCCCTGCACAGCTTTCCGCCGGCCACCAGACTTTCCAAGGATGTGCATCAGAGCATCGCTGGCGGAGGCGCGGCTGTCGCCGGGTGAGGCCCGGGAAGTTGCGCTTCGCGCGATCGCGCGAAACCCTAAACCCTAAACCCTAAGCCCTGACCCCAAACCCCAAACCCCAAACCCCAAACCCCAAACCCCAAACCCCAAACCCCAAACCCCAAACCCCAAACCCCAAACCCCAAACCCCAAACCCAAACCCCAAACCCCAAACCCCAGACCCCAAACCCCAAACCCCAAACCCCAAACCCTAAACCCTACACCCTACATCCCGAGTGGTGGCTTAGCCGTGTTCTGGGCGGCGCGAAGTTTCTTGCAACGGTCGCAGCTCAATGTTCAGGACCCCAAGATAGTGGCAAAGAGTTTGCAGCTCAGGTTTAGGCGCGCAACAAAGTCGCACCACACTTCTGGATAGCTGGTGTATTGATGGCAGGGAGGTAGGGCTGTTGCAACTCGCGGAGGAGCGGCTCGAAGTTGCAATGTCGTATACCTCATGCGTCAGACTGACTGCTGCAGTACTTGTCTTCCTGAATCTTCATTCCTTGCTGGGCGGTCCGTGTTTTGGAGTCGTGGGGCAGAAGAGGTTGCGGAAGTTGCAGGAGCAAGCAGGGCTCGTGGTGCATTCTCCTGCAGCTGTCCGTCGCCAAGTTCCTTTGAGCTCAAGCGGTAAGGCACTGCTGAGGAGAATCACGGCTGCGCAAACGTGGGAGGTGGTGGAGCAGTTGGTCCAGAAGTACACGGGGAATGAAATCCAAATCTTCAATGCAGCCATGCAAAAAGCACTCAGCTTGGGACGTTACAGGCAAGGTGCTACAATCTACAACCGGCTTTGCAATTCAAACGTCACGAAGCATCCAGCTACATATACAGCGGCGATAACTCTTCATTCGCGTTTGGGGTATGCAGAAGCCGTTCAGGACATATGGAAGGAAGGTTTGCGTACACATGGAATGGATACAGTGCTGGCCTCAGCACGGATACGCGCTGCAGCTCGTGAAGGAGACATTGAAACCGCTGTCCGAATCCTGGATGAAATGAACGAGACGGGCATTGAAATCAATGTTGTGCATGTGTCATCAGCACTCCGTGCCTGTTGGACTGCAGAAGGACCCCGTCATAACGCTGCAAAATATCTTTTCTATACGGTCTTACCAAGACTCTGCTTACAACCAAACAGAATCACTTTCAACAACTTGCTGGGAGCCTTGGACACAGGCCCATTGAGCGACATTGTCTCTGCTTACAGCGACATGAAGGCACTGAATGTCACCCCTGATGCAGTGACCGCTGAGACGTTCTTGCTGGCACTGTTCCGCAAGCCTAAGCAACAGAGATGGACCAACCCTGAAATCACGGCTCGCCACTTGCGCAATGAAGATGGGGCCCGTTTGAGTGCCGCAAGGTCTGCACTCCGCGACTTCAAAGCCAGTCATGTCGAACTGTCAGAGCTCACCCGTCACATTGATGATGCACTCAAGTTGCTTGCTGCAGAAAGGGTGTAACCTGTGCAATTTTCGAGGGTAAACGAATGCACTCCGCGTCTTTGGAGCTCTCGGTCTGCGCGCGCTCCACGTTTCGCAGGTGCTTTCTCTTGCTGCCTCAATCCCCTCCTGGCCCTCCTGCTCTTGGGGTACTTATAACCCAACTGAAATAAGTAATTCTACGTAACCCAAGTGTAAGTGTAGTTAGAACCCACTTCTAGAATTCTTAAGTACCCTAGCAGGGTTATAATTGGGTCATAAAGAAAGTTTTAATTGGGTTACGAAGTACGGGCAGTCCCATCCAGAAACTCCCCAGAAGCCCACGGAGGTCCAGATTGGCGAATGCCACGGCACCGGCACTGCCCTTGGCGACCCCATCGAGATCGGTGCGATGAAGTCCGTGCAGCCCTTTGGACTTACTTGGGCTCGGGAAACTCCGACATGCTTGCTGTCTCCCTCCCCTACCTCTCCCATCCTCCATGCTTGCGATGCAAGCAGCCCTACAGGGCCTCTCATAGAACCCCAAAAAAACCCTTAAACCCCCTAAACCCCTACGCCCCAAAACCCTAAACCCTGGCTCAAGTATGGGGCTTTAGCGGCGGAGCCCTGGGGCTTCAGGGGCCTAAGCCCTCTAAGATGCTGCGCCTTCAGCCCCTAACACCCTAAAACTAAGCTCCCTCAACCCCAAACCCCAACTCTAGACACCCCTAACACTCCTAAAGCCCTAACACTGCTAAAGCCCTACTACAGGCCCAAAATGCCCTAAAACCCCTAGAAGCCCTACTAAAGCCCCTAAATACCCCCCAGAGCCCTAAAGCCCCTAAAGCCCCAAAGCAGCCGTTCAGCCCGCTTGGACTTGCCCAAAACCCTAAAACCCTAAAGCCCTAAACCCTAACACCCTAAACCCTAAACCCTAAACCCTAAACCCTAAACCCTAAACCCTAAACCCTAAACCCTAAACCCTAAACCCTAAACCCTAAACCCTAAACCCTAAACCCTAAACCCTAAACCCTAAACCCTAAAACCCTAAAACCCTAAAACCCTAAACCCTAAAACCCTAAAACCCTAAAACCCTAAAACCCAAACCCTAAAACCCTAAAACCCAAAACCCTAAAACCCTAAAACCCTAAAACCCTAAAACCCTAAAACCCTAAAACCCTAAAACCCTAAACCCTAAAACCCTAAAACCCTAAAACCCTAAAACCCTACAACCCTACCTAAAACCCTAATACCCTAAACCCAAACCCCAAAACCCTAAACCCCAAACCCTAAACCCCAAACAGACTTGGACTTGCAGGATGGGCAAGCGAGGCGACAACCCGCTCCTCCACGCCTCCGCGAAGTCCAACGTCGGCCACGAGGCGGATCCGAGGGATGCGTTTAGGGGGGCTGTTGGGGCTAGGGGCTCGGGTTTAGGGTTTAGGGTTTAGGGTTTAGGATTTAGGGTTTAGGGTTTAGGTCAGTTTAGGGGGCTGCTGGTTTCAGGTTTAGGCTTGAGGGTTTAGGGGGTCGCGGGGTTAGGGTTGAGGGTTTATAGGGTTTAGGGCTAGCAGGTTTTTGAGGGTGGCTGGGCTGATCATTGCCACGTTGCTTCATCAGTTCCGGGATTCCTTCCGAAAGGACCAGGGGTAGTGAAAACCAGAAACCCGGCACTTGTAATAACAACCCTACGCCTTACCCTACACCCTAAGCCCTAAACCCTAAACCCTAAGCCCTAAGCCCTAAACCCTAAACCCTCAACCCTCAACCCTAAACCCCAAACCCCAAACACTCAACCCTAAACCCTAACCCCCCCAGAAAAGTTGTCGAGCTTCTTGCAAGCCGGCCAGGAAGCAAATGCGGGCACCTGCGGCTTCATCAAGGTGGGTTTAGGGTTTAGGGTTTAGGGTTTAGGGTTTAGGGTTTGGCAGCTCTTTAGTTCGGGTGGGTTTCCTATAGTCGTTTAGGGTTTAGGGATATTAGGGTTTTAGGGTTTATTTTTGGGTTTGTTGCTTCTCTTCCTTTTTTTTGGGGGGGGGGGGGGGGGGGGGGGGGGGCGAGGGGGGGGGCGGGAGGGGGGTGGGTCTTGGAGATTTCGGGTTCAAACCCCAAACCCTGACACCCTAAATCCTAAACCCTAAGCCCCGAACTGCTTTCCGTGGAAGTCATCCCAGGTTGGTGATTTCAAGTGAAGGGCCTGGCTCCATGCCACGAAGGTTATGTTGTGGGGTTTTACGGCTTAGGGTGTAGGGTTTCTTGCCTCTGGGCCCTAGCAGTTGCAGGGGATGGCGGTGCTTGACCATACTCAAAAGGGTGATCTAGATCCTCCAAAGACTACCGGGCGTGGTGGTACAGATCCTTAGCAGAATTCTCAAAACGATGATGGATGTCCTCAAGCTGTGCTCAAACATGATGATGCCATCCCCTCAATCGGTTCTGGCGACGATGGACACCTGCATCTCTCTTAAAGTTCCCAGGGCCCTACTTGCAACACGTACCCGAAATCAGCCTTAAACCCTAAACCATAAACAAAACCTAAGCCCGAAGCCCTAAGCTCTAAACCCTAAACTGCCCCAACCCACACTGCTCTACACTTTGAATCATGCCCTTCATCCGCCACCTGACACCTCTGAGCGCCAGAGAAATTGCGCCTGCAGGTCGTTATGCTGCTCAATGGCGGAGTCACCTGGAAGATTAGGGCTCGAGGGTGGGGGTGTTGAGATTCAGAAGGGTACTTGGAGGTTCATGGGTAGCTGCAGTTTGTCGTTGCTAAACCCCCTAATCCCTAATCCCTAATCCCTAATCCCTAATCCCTAATCCCTAAACCCTGAACCCTAAACCCTAAACCCTAAACCCTAAACCCTAAACCCTAAACCCTAAACCTCCACTCCGCAGCTCCCAAATCGCCGGGGGGTTTCCGAGGTCTCCACGCCGAACCCACACTTAACGACTCTGAACCCGCACCTGGATGTGGCGAACTACCCGGTCATGTTTACAAACGTGGCCTGGTCGGGAATTTCGGGGGTGGCTTCAGGGTTTTTTTTGGGTTTTAGGGTTCTGAGGGTTCTGAGGGTTCTGAGGGTTCTGAGGGTTCTGCGGGTTCTGATTCTTAGGGTTCGTCGGCTTCTTAGGGTTCTGAGGGGTTTTGGTGTCCGTGGGAATCTTAGGGTTCTGAGGCTTGAGAGGCTTCAGGGGACTGGGCTACTTGAGTTGAGGGATTTTGCCGCGCTGACGCATAAACGGGGCTCGCTATCAAAAAAAAGAGTTGGAGGGATTTTGCCGTGTGGGATGTGGGTTCTCCGTTCGAGCCGGCTAGCCTGGGGACTGCGCGCCAGCGTGGCGTTCGGGGAGGCCTACCTAGTGACCAACATTGTTCCCTCAGAGTCCGCCTACACCTACGATCTTGGCAGCCATGTGAGACCCTTTTCACTTTTTGTTTGGTTCAAGGTTCCCTGATAAAGTACCCAACCCCAACAACAGTGTGCCCTCATTGCAACATGGATACTGGGCTACCAAGATTCTGGAAATAAGCCACCTTAACAACACCCATTCTAATGCTTGCTCGTTTGAGGGTGCATGAACGTTGGACTTGCCTGGGCGCTCGACCCCCCCTCGAACTTCCATACCTACGTTTTTTGATGTAGTTTATAGGGTTTCGGATTTAGTGTTTAGGGTTTGGGGTTTAGGGATGTCATCATTCTTGAGGGTTTTGGGTTGAGGGTTTAGAGGGTGTAGGTTGGGATGTTCCCCCCTTACACGAACAGTCCTTAATCGGGATAAGAATAGGGGGTAAGATAATCCCTATTCAGGACTGTTAGGATAAGGGGGAACAAACCCTAAACCCCAAACCCTAAACCCTAAACCCTAAACCCTAAACCCTAAACCCTAAACCCTAAACCCTAAACCCTAAACCCTAAACCCTAAACCCTACACCCTACACCCTAAACCTAAACCCTAAACCCTAAACCCTAGACCCTAAACCCTAAACCCTAAACCCTAAACAAGGTGCAGAGTTTTCCGGGTTTTTAGGATTTTTTAGGGTTTTTCGGGGCCCTGCGGAGTGTTGCAAGGAGCTGACCTGCACCTCCCGACGCGAGCCATGCCTTGCACCGGGAGGGAGATGACCCTTGGGGTTTAGGGTTTAGGGTTTAGGGCTTAGGGTTTAGGGTCTAGGGTTTAGGGTTTAGGTTTTAGGGCTTCAAGTCCCCTAAGCCCTCAACCCTAAACCCTGACTCCCTAAGCCCTGAACCCTAGGCCCTCGATCCACGCCTCCGGGGTTATGGGGCTTCGCGATCCAACCTTGCAGGGGGTTTTTTTGGGGGGGCTCAAGGCTTAGGGTTTAGGGTTTAGGCTTTATTATTATTATTATTTTTATTATTAATATTATTATTATTGTTATTATTATTATTATTATTATTGCATTTTTATATTTTTGGGGGGGACTAGGGTTCGGGGTATCGGGTTTGGGGTTCTAGGGTGTAGGGCTGTGGCTAGCGTTTCGTGGGGCTCGTCGGCACATGTCCTTGGCAAGCGATGTCTCTATTGATTGCCTCGCCGGCAGCCACTAATCAAGGTTTAGAGTCTATTGTCTAAGGTTAGCTGTCATTGCACATCCTGAGTCAGCCTGCCAAGAGACACAGGCAAACACTGAAGTCTCCAACGCCGTCGCTCAACATACCTCCTCGATGTAGCTTCATACGTGTGTCTATAAACCCTAAGCCCTAAGCCCTAAACTTTCCCAAGACTTTCCCCAAACCCCAAACCTCAACCCCAAACCCCAAACCCTAAACCTCAACCGCAAAGCCCCAAAGCCGATAAGGACATGTGCTGTGGCGTCTCCTCCTTCGGCTTTGGCGGCACCAACAGCCGGGCCGACATGCACCGGGTCAGAAGTTTAGGGTTTAGGGTTTCGGGTTTCGGGTTTCGGGTTTAGGGATATAGGGTTCCGACGGGAGCGTCGTGTAGTTTCGGGTTCTTGGGGTTTTAAGGGCTTTTAGGATCTTGTATATATAGCAGGGTTCTTTGGGGCCTTAGGGCTCTTG